TGTGACTTAAATCACTTTAACATAAATCAGTCTGCCCTGTGGGATAACCCTGGCACCTGTTTGTCGGAGAGGGTACAAAAGATGTCTGTGCTTTGGGGGCAGGGGAGTCTGTGCTGTAAGCTGGGCCCTCTTCGCTCTCAGTAACGGGCCGCTCTTCTTTTTGCTCCGGTTACCGTGGAGCTTTGGCTTTGGGACAGGCTGTCATGGTGACAGAGGAGTTGTGTGGCACTTACTAGCCAAGGGTTCTTTCCTTTAGTTTATGGATTTGCTTTAATTCAGTCCCCACAGCAAGTATCTGAGCATCCTGATCCCCCCACGACATTCAAATTCCCCTGCACACATGCACGTGCACACACACCTCTGCCCTGCCTTGCCTGGCCCTGCCTTCTCTCAGCTCAAGATCAGATTGCTTCACTAGCTCTTTTAGACCTTCCTAGCACAAAACACAGGGGCTCCTCCCCTTCCCTCCCGCTTAGAGCCCAGCCATACAGAGACAATTAGACCATGTCTATTCCACCCCCCTGAGCAATATAAATTTCGCCAGCATAAGTGGTAGTGTGCACAGCGCTATGTCAGCAGGAGAGTTTCTCCCTCTAACAGAGCTACCGCCGCTCTTTGGGGGTGGTTTAATGATGCCGGCAGGAGAGCTCTCTCCCATCGCAATAGAGGGCTACACAAGGGGTTTTACAGCGGCGCACATGAATCAGTACGGCTGTGCCGCTGTAAGCTCTGTAGTGTAGACATAGCCTGAGTCAATCTCATCTGTTCTTCATTCATTTCAAATGCTCCCTGGCACTCACTGATGTCAGAGAGAGAGAATGTTCTGCGGCCAGCTGGGCATGAAATGGCTTTGGGGCTGGGGGTCACAGTCCAGGTCCAGTGGACAGGCCTCCGTGTCATTTGAAAACCCACCCCAGCTGGCCCCTTTGTTGGCAGTCTCAGCAGAGAGGCCAAGGGTCAAGTCTGAACTCCCCTCCCCCATGAAGGGTGTCCCTCCAGGAGGGTGAGGTGTGTCGGCAGTGAGCAGCGTGAAGGTGGGAGTCAGACTGTGCTGGGGGCAGATCAAGGCCCTAGCGCTGCAGCCACGCCAGGCTGTCAGCTCTGCACCACACCAGGAGCTGCTCATTCGCTCCAGTCTCCCAGCTGGCTGGAGGCAGCGGAAACGTTTAGGAGCTGTCGCTCTCATTGCAGCCTCCAGGTGCTGTTCTGTCTGATTCATTTGTATCTCACGTCCATCAGCAGGTGTTCAGTGGCTTTGGGGAATAGTACTTTAGTGCTGTTATCGTTAAATTACCTTTCAAGTGCTGGCTGTCAAAGCCAGTGCCTCAGCGCACACTGCTAATGTCGCAGGAAGGTGCCTGCTGCTGGGGGCAGCCTTTGAAGCTGGGCTGCGGTTTTTATGGGTGTCTAACCAGCGCTCTTTGATCTGGGCCTTTTCTCCCTGCAGTGAGATCAGCTCTGAAATACACCATGCACCAAATTCCAATTCCCGGTGTGCTCCTGTAACAGCAGTGAGCATGTGAGTGCAGCTGTGCTGCCCAGCTCACAGGGAGAGAGAGAGAGAGAGAGAGAGAGTGTGTGTGTGTGTGTGTGTGTGTGTGTGTGTGTGTGTGTGTGTGTG